GTGTGTGTGTGTGTGTGTGTGTGTGTGTGTGTGTGTGTGTGTGTGTGCGTGTGTGTGTGTGTGTGTGCGTGTGTGTGCGTGTGTGTGTGTGTATGTGTGTGTGTGTGTGTGTGTGTGTATGTGCGCGCGCGCGCACACGTGCTTTTGCGCGGGCGTAGGTGTGCGTGTGCCTGCGTTTGTGTGTGACAATATACATTCGCGCGTTAGTAGTATAGGGTCTATTTCATTGTTATTACCTGCAAATATTTTCTCAGTTGCTACAGTAAGGCTTCAGTTTTATGGTAATCTAAGGTCAAAAACCAGTTCTTAGTTTTAAGTTTAGCTTCACGAGCAGATAACGGATATATGTTTAAAGTGTTATTAATTTTATTATACAGGTACGGAGCCATAAATAGTAACTGACGTCTAGCCCAAGCTGTGCGACATTTAATGGATAAACACACATTAGTGCGGGTGCGCTTTTTGATGTAATTGTCTTTGCAGTATGGAGTGACTCTGTGCTGTTTGTTGTGTATAGATGTCGCTGATTGACGTGATACTTGAATAAACTCTACGATAAAAACCTCTTACAAGTCAGTAATAATCGTCTACAAAAATCTTATTGCATTCAAATTAAAATGCACTTAAGATTATAACTAAAAACATTTAAACATAAAGCCGTCAATTACAGTTGACTTTTGTGAAATACAGATAAAATTGAATATTTCGTTTGTATGCAATTAATTGTAAAAAAGGTAACAAATCACGAATGTTCTAAGCGTATGAAATAGTTTTGCTTTCTTAATTAAAAAAAAGAACAATTCTCCAAATTGCGAGAATTGCGAGTTTTGCGGAATAATGGAAGATGCAAATCACTTGTTCAAATTCATCGTAACTTAAACTATAGCTTACATAATTATCTGGGCGTCTATGCTGAAAAGCCGTAACTACAACAAATAGTAACTGCATTTATGCTCTTTCGCATAGGGGTTGCTCAGTATACATTTTTAATTACCTACGGATGTTCGGTTAATCGCAGTTTTCTCATAAACGCTGCCCACTGGTGCTCGTACCGGATATCATATACCTTGTATAATAGTTCCTAAATAAATAAAGATTATAAAATACATTATTACACTCTATGGGTTTGTAGACTTAGCACTAGAGCTCCTTGCGAAAAGCTCTGAGTGGCACTGCAATTGTCATAGCCAGGCGTTTACCCTCAGGCGCACGGCTTATTCGTCCCGTCACTTAATATTATAAAAAAAAGAAAGACTTGCTGCATTTAACTCACACTGTTGTTCATGAGCAGTCACGATGTCCGATCCCCGTCCATTTGACTGCTTCCCCTTGTTAACTGAATTATGTTGTAGGAACAGGAGATCTCGCAACCCTCTGAATAAATCTCACTTGAAAAATTTGTACGAGTGGTTTCCATTGAACTCGGGTTTACTGCACTTTTGTTATTTTAGTTTATGCTGGCATTCTTTCCTTGTAGAGTTTTCATTCGCGAAAAAAATTATAAATTTTTTCATTGTAGCTGGTAGAACCATATTATTTATTAAAAGGTATTGTTTATCTCGAGGAAAAGTTTTTATTACGTGTATTTAGTGAACCCCATTTTTTTAAACAAAGGAATTGAGGGAATGTTGAAATTATTAATTATTTTTTTATTGTTGTTGTCGTTGTAACCCTTGCTGAATTTCTGATATTGAAACAGTAAACCTTTTGAATTTGGGATCATTATTGGTACATAATCCATAAATAGAAAACGGTTACAAACTTCGTGTAATGTGTGAGAAGAAACTTCTTGAAAATTGCTATTAAAATTTTGTAATACACTTCTAAATTGTAATATAAATAAATAAACACAAATTCTAAACAACATCAACGTTGCTTTGCTCGCAAAGTAAGTAAATAAAGCACACCGGAATACAACGACGGTACCTTTGTGGTACCGTCGTTGTATTCCGGCAATACAACGACGACTTAGATCCGAGGCAATATAGAAAATTTAGTTTTTTCTACATCAATCTAGCCCCCGGCCGGTGATCGAACCCGGGACCTCAGAGATGGCGACACCATGCAAACCGGCGTGCAAGCCACTCGACCACGGAGATTGTCAACTTGTAATAATAATAATAGTTACACTAATCACTTGAGTTTAGATTAGGAAATTCCCAGTGCAGTGAGTACCGGTATTAACTCCGGGGCAGTACACAGAACAACCAGACCAGAACGTTTTTAAATTAGTCCTATTGAGAATCGAATCCTATACCTTCTCATCAACCTGCCCATAGTGTTAATCGCTAGGTCACAGAGATCGGTCACTTGAAACTATAAAACGTTTTTCAACGAGATAATCCAGCTTGGACCAAATGCTTGCCATTTTAATACATTTGCCATGTAAAAGATCCGCTTTTAGGCTATCGACAATAAATTGATATTGAACGAAGCCAATATACGAGTATATATTTTTATTTAAGTGGAATTGAACATGTGTCACAAAATTATAACATACGTATTTTCGAATGCATATTCTGTGTACTGCGATGAGATCAAAAGTAATAACATATTTGAAGAAAAATAAAAAAGACGAAAGATGAAACTTGTATGTATTTTATTCATTTTTATAGTTTTAATTTTAAGGAAAATAATAGCGACAGGATCTCTAAAGCTTAAGTTCATCCATAATACAACCACAGTAAAGTACATCATTGATGGAGAAAAACTTTAAACGATTTCTTAAATAAACACACACACAAAACACACTTCCACTAAACATCCGCATAAAGTTTAAAACAGCGCAGTAACAAACAAACCGTACCAAAGTAACATAAATCGCAATAAACAAAAGTTTTCACAAGTTTAAACTTGATACAAATTCTAATTGCAGTTGCAGCTTACCTGTCGTCGTGCAAGCGGTGAACGCTATCCATATCACGTGATAAAAATGTACAAAAAGAGTCATTGTTTGTGTAAAAGATTGATACATGGGTTAGTACACTCGTTCACCTCTGATTACGAGCGCGTGCGGGCGGCTCCAGACTGGCAAGCGAACGTGGCATGTCTACGCGAGCTGTCGAAGTACTGCCGCGCCGGACGCGGGGAGGCACCCACTACCCCCAGATAAACAAGGGTGAGAAAACCGGGAAGAGGTAGACAAGCCGTCTCGCTACCAATCGCGGGCATAACAGCATAATAAAATAAGACAAAAGACGAATAAAGTAAAGAACGGAAAACAACATTTCGCTAGACTTATCTTCTTGATGTCGACATGGCTTTGTGGGTTACTCACTCATGTACATGCCAGCACATCAAGCTACACATTGACGTATCTTGTTCTGTTGCACTGGAGGCGATTTTCGAACAAAAATGTATAGTCTGATGTACTGTTGGCGTTGACGTTGTTCTCAAAAAAAGTTTGCGATCAGTTTGAAAACTTAACATATTTTTAATATGTGGAAATATTATTAAGAAATATGTAATAAATAGTTTTTTTGTTAAAAGTACAACATTAAATAAATAATTAAAATTAAAAACAAATAATAGTATCACTAAAGAGGTTTTTGAAATATTTTTAGAAATTAAAAAATATTTCAAGTTTTAAAAGTGATCGCAAACTTTTTTTGATGTGTGTACGTAGCTATTTGAAACCTAAATACTTGTTTTTTTATAATTATTAATACAGAGATTCCAACCAAGCCCCTGATTCTTGCGTGATAAATAATGACATAAAACTCGATGTAGACATGTGTCGAAAAATCGACAATATGTCGAGTGTCCGTATTCTCACGATTTCTCGATATACTTCTATCATTTTTTACACGACAATTTCGTTGACATGTTGACTAGAGAACATAACTCGACATGCATCCGACTATTCAGTCGACTTTTATTTTGACAGATTCATTCGTGGTTTATTACGTTCAGTGCAAATTTCGTCGTTTATCATTTATGTAAATTTTATTTAATTTTGTTAGTACCTAGTATTTGAAATTGAACAGTAAATGGGGATATTATTAGGCATTGTAAGTAGATTAGGGTTGCGATTATATTGTGTGGTATTAGTGTGTAATATGTATAGCTAGAGAGGGATGTGTACCTACAGAATAAAGGATGAGTTAATAATCGCTTTTGTAAGCGAAGTAGTGGAAGAAGCAGCTCGTGCTGCGACCACATCGCGACGTCATACTACTTGGAAAATCGACCGACCAACGAACGACCAACGAGCGACCAACAATTTTAGCGCAAATATCACTAATGTCAATCATTCATATTTTTTTAATGTTCGTTAACATCAGTGAAACGTTCAGAAATCAGACTTAATATATCGGTAATGGAAGGCTGCCAACATTATTCACAAAAAAATTTATGGACTTTTCCGGCTCGACATTTATGTGTAAAGTGTGCGAAAATTGAAATTTTGGAGTCAATTAACATTTTTCGTTAAACTTTCATTGTTAATCGAGAAAAGTCGAAACAGACATAAGTCTACAAATCTGAGAATCAGGCCCGAGCGTCGCTATGCCAACTATATGTATAAACCACGGAACTAACCAAGGGTCCTTACAAATTGTTCTATGTGCTTGTTCATCTATTTAAAAAAAAAAAAATTTATTGAACCGTGACATTCAATTATTTGAGTGAACTTTCTTTTATTCTTTTCCATCCTCTAAGGAGTGAACTGATTGAACAAATAGATTTCTCACAGATGACGCTACGGCAAAAAAATCGTTAAAAACCAAAACAAAGATCTGTTTACGTAGTTGTTTACGTTATTTGAGGTCTTCTGATGAAGTACCGTCTGCTAAGCGTAGTGATTGTGGTAAATCCTGGAAAAGGAAAAATTGTTGAGAGGAGTAAATATTCCTGAGACAAAACTGATGTGGTAGGGTCGATTTTCACTTCAATTACGATGTCGACAAGGCTTCGTGGCTTACTCGTATATGTATCTAATCTATTGAGATCTAAAGAGTTTATTTCACAAATGGCTCGTATTTAGAGTGCTTACTTAACCACTTCAATTACACATAATAACATAACAATGATCCTTTTTTGTGTACACAAGATCATTGTAACATAAGCAATGTTCTAATACAAAGATAATTATGTAAATAGAATCTGTTTTGAACTTCATAATATATTGATAATGAAAAAAACAATACAATATCTATCCAGCTCATTTCACTCAACAAATATTAACATTTCCATATAAATGTTTATAACCATTTGGAATTGTGCATGTTACCCTAAACGAAGTTGTTCAATATCTAGAACAGCGTATTTCCGTGCATTGTCCCCCTAACGGACGTCTGAGGGCTAAATGTGTTGTGTTACGATATCTTGCACCACTATAGCAGCATAGACAAGAGTGTTCAAGCTGTTCAACAAATCGAAACTAAAAAAATCGCCAGACGTAAAGGCTACGACTGCACCAGAGTGTCTCTCTCAAAATGCTTTTCTTCTCTCAACACTTTTCTTTTCTACATATTCCATTTTTTATAGATCCTAAATCGTAAATAATTTTGTATAGTAATATTGTCTATTTAATTCTAAATTTTGTGTTAATTTTGTGAGACTAGGATCATTACGTAATGGTTACGTAATACAACAAGTTTGTGAAAACTGACGCTGGAGAAGAATGGAAACATAAGCTGGACAGAGACAACGGCAGGCGTCAAGGCTGTTGAAAGTCGATGAGAAATCATAGAGGGTATAACATGAGTGGGAGGATTACAATAAGAAAACTTTGAATAGCACAGAGGATTCATATACATGTAATTGGCGTAACAATTTATATCTTGCTTCTAGTTGGCTTATAGGCATATTCCTATATTGAAAACATAATCCTGGATATGACATTCTTGTACCACTGTAACTATTACACTATGTCAATGCCGCCACGAAACCCGCGACTGTAGCACTAGGACTCCAATGCATAGTAATAATGCTTTTAAGTGTAACCGCTTCTCCTGGGTGCACTCGCTGGGACATCGAGTATCAAACGATGAGAAGTTTTGAATATCTTCTCTTCTTTTGTAACTTTGTACTCACACAATATAATATGTAAGCAAAGTACTTTTATATAGCCATATTTTTAATTAATAATAATGGAGAATAAACGTGATAACAAAACCGAAACAAATACATACAAAAGTTATGTTACGCCCATAAAAGCCCAACTATTATAAAAACGTATTAAAATAGATGTAAAAATGGATTAATAAGTATATTAAACAGGATTCGAAACAATAAATATTTTTATTTTCTTTGATAATTATCATGATAATTATCTGATAATTTTACGACAATCATCCATGCTGATTCTTTGTTTTTTTTAATATGATAATAATAATAATAATAAATTTCTTTATTTCGGACTAAGTCCATAAGGGTTAGTAACAAAACACTTAAAAAACACTTAAAAATAGGGTTAGTATTTTACAATTTATTATTATAGGCCACAAAACCAATGTGCATTCTAGACCAGTGATCTAGGAAGCAACACGGTTTGCAATTATACTCAGGAGGCTGTTATCGCCGCCCCGAATCCTGCGCAACAAAGAAGCCGCCCTTTTTCGCATGATAGCTGAAAAACCATCTAAGCGAGACACGGCGAAAATTCCCGATGCACTGCAAAATCGAGGCAGCTTCAACAGCATCCTGAATAAATTATCATACAACACATGGAGAGAGCTTAGAGCTTTTTGGGTGTAATTGACCCATAGGCTACATGTATAAAATGACTGACAGTACGCCTTGAACAACATAAGTTTGACGTCGTCAGTACAACTAGCAAACCTACGAGCCAACATGTTGCCCTTCACTGCTAGCGCCCTACGCTCCCTTTCAACATCTAAATCGTCCTTTAAAGTCTCAGAGACCCAGTGCCCTAGGTACTTATATTCGGTGACTCTTTTAAGAGGAGTGCCACACAGAGTAACTTCAAAAAAGAGAGGTTACTCTGTGTGGCAAAACCTGTAGGTTTTGCTACCCGATTTAAAAACTAGCAACTCACTCTTACTCGCGTTGTACCTTAGACCATGAGCCTCTGCATATTTTGTATATATGCCTAACAATTTCCGAAGAGCACTTATTGAGGGACTCAGCGACACCATGTCATCCGCGTAGCTAATATTATTCACCATTATTCCATCTATCAAGCATCCGACCTTGGTGTTGCTAAGCTCATCAATTAAACTATTCATGTAAAGGTTGAAGAGACTTGGCGAACTTAACCCACCTTGTCTCACTCCACACTCTAACCTGACATGCTCGACATCGAGCCTCCCCATTTTACAAAATTATTCTGGTTACAGTGCCAATACTTAAATAGACCTATAAATTCTCTTGGAAGACTGGTCTCCTCCTGCAGCTTTATCCATAACCTGTCATACGATACAAGATCGAAAGCTTTGGACAGGTCAAGGAAACAAGCATAGATTGAAGTCTTCCTAGAGGTATAATACTGGACAGTGTGCTTGAGGCAAAGGATAGCAGCTTCTGTAGACCTGGTCTAAACCCAAATTGTGCATCATGTAACTTCAGATGCCTTCCCAAGTGCTTGTCAAGCAAACTGTCCAGTACCTTTCCAATGATAGTAGCCAAGGACATAGGTCTATAGTTTTTAAGGCAAGAAATGTCTCCCGTCCTGTTCTTCATTACAGGCACTACAACTGTTTTCGTAAGTTCCTGAGGCAAGTATGTGTGGCTGACGCACAGCGTGAAAAACAGGGCGAGCACACTGTGTAGGTTTTCACTACCGTACTTCAAATGCTCAACACTGCGCGAGTCGTGACCCGGCGACCTGCCGCGTGACAGGTCCTCGATGGCGGCTGCAACTTCCTTCGCAGAAAAATGTACATGCGGCTGTCCGTTTAAAATATTTATTTTAATTAATGTTTGGCTATAAGTGACGAACAGTGAGGAAACTAAATAAATATGAAGATAAATCCTTACGAAAACTTAGGAAGTAATTCTAATTAATTTTATAAATATCAAGACAATTATCAAGGTATCGTGATAACTTCGAACCCAAATCTTACAGGTGTTCTTCAAAA